CCACACTAGATGGAGTGACGATCTAGTAAGACATGAAATTAAGAGCAGTAATTAATGAATGTAATGAATGGGTGGACCAGCTCGAACCGAGGAGACCCACGACCTTATAGATATACAGCGTGAAGTATAAGTTTACTTCGCCTGTTTAGTGCAGGTGGTTGGAGGCCTAATCCCTCTTCCCCTTAACATGGTAATGTAATTAAATAAGAAACCATCCCAGGAGGGTACCAGCACCCCTGTTATTGGAGAATCCCTATCCCACGCCCAAGCTACCCTACTCTTCCTTAGTGCGGGTGCTGAGGCTGCCTCGCGTATATTAAGGAGGGAGGGGGGGATTCTGCTCAAGACTAATACTGTTCGGGGCAAGTAGAGCAATAAGACAAAAGTGACCCCTGCTACGTTATCCGTGAATTTCAGCAACATCAGGGGATTTCATTCGAACTGTTACGGTTTCCCAATGCTAGGGAAAACCCTTAATCATAGGTAATAACTGATTATATAGATTTCCTCTAAATAATCATGTCATCATTTAAAGGCAGCTCTGCTTCTCGCTCCCGGGAACGAGTTAGTCTCCGCCCGACCACTGACTCCCTAACACCTCTGTACTGTATCATCTCGTGTCTGGCAGTTTCGACTCCGGGCTAGTTAAAATTTGTAACTTATTCCATTTCTAAATTATACTATTTCCGTTGTGTAATAAAAGTGCTTTTTTTAAAACCTACTTTACGAGGTCCCGTATAACTGAACGTTAACGAAGTCCACTAGGTACCATCTGAAGACGGAAAAGCCGACCTTGCTCTTTCTAACCGAGACGCAGGTGTCCTCTCCGGTCGATACATTTCTCCTATCCGGGGTATAAATTATAACACCTTTGTACCTCGGGCTGGAGTTTGCGTATACGTCAGAGAAGACATCTGTTCTCGACACCTCGGTAGTCTTAAAGGTCAGCGATGACCATCCTCGCGTCTAAGGGTGCCCCTATAGATAATGCCGACACAGACCAACTCATCGACCACATCCAAATCGCTGCCGACTCCGTTCTACAACAGGTCCCATCTGCAGAGATCGTGATCCTTGGTGATTTTAACGGCCACCACGCTGAATGGCTTGGTTCTTGTTTAACCGATCATGCGGGAAGTTCTGTTTATGACTTTGCCTTTGCATATGGTCCGGCAGAAATGGTTACTTCACCTACGCGGATTCTAGATGTGCAGGGTCGTGCACCTTCCCTGTAGGGCCTTCTCCTGACCTCTCATCCGGACGGATATCAGGTCTCCAATAACGCCCCTCTTGGTTTACTGGACCATTGTCTGATCCGGACTATGGTGCCACTCACACTCCCATCGCGGTTGCGTTATGCAGATCGCTGTGTTTGGCACTATAGTTCGGCCGATTGGGACAGGATGCGGTCTTTTTATGCATCCTTCCCTTGAGGACAGGGGAGGGTATGCTTCTCGCTGGGTGATCAGAAGTGATTTTGTCGCTGATATTGTACTTCAGGGAATGGAACTCTTTATTGTATCATCTGTGGTGCCTGGTTTAGTCGCTCCTGTAAAATTGCATCGCGCTATAATAGGAGTGCTTTACCAGCGCTGTTAAAAAGGAGTATAATTTCGCCTTCAGGTCGGTACGATACGGTTTACACAGCGCTCAGTGTGCATAGCACTACTCTCCCTAGACGTCAAGTCGATTGGTTCTGATGGAGTTCCTCCCATTATGCTGAAGACTTGTTCCAGTTGGCACCGATCGTAACGTGTCTTTTCTCTCTAGGCGTAGTCCCGAACTCAAAGAAGACAGCTTTAGTGCACCAAATCCCTAAAAAATAACCGAAAATCGACCGCTCAGACCTATCCAACTAATTCTCCAAAATAATGAAAACCATTGTGAACGCCGAGCTCATGAGGTTGAGAATCACCAACTGAAAAGTGACTGCCAGCACGATTTCCGTCAGGGTTGCTCAGCTGGTGATCTTCTGGATTACCTGACCCATAAATCCACGGAGGCAGAGAGGGAGACCCTGGCCGTTAGTTAGAACATAGCGAAGGCCTTCTATCGGGTTTGGCACAAAGCGTTTCTTTCGAAGCTCCCTTCCCATAGGAAAAAATTCTCGGGAAGTCCATAGACTTCCCGACAATTTGTACAATTTGTACAACTGAAACAGCAGTTTTCTTGCAGATTGGAGCAAAAAAGTCGTAGTATAAGGTGCATGATCCATTTACAAGCTTATTTATACTGGTGTTACACAAGGCACAGTGGTAGAGTCACGCGGCAGCTTTTGCTGTCGCACGGATGGGCCGGCTCGAACCGGGGTGGTACCACGACCTCACAGAAAACCAGCGCGAAGTAGAAATTTACCTCTGCGTTTCGCTTGGTGAGTGCAGGTGGCCGAAGGCCCTTTTTACTGGAAATGAGGCATTCCATCTTAGTCCTCACGGGTGACAACGCATCTGCATTTTGATTCATAGTCGAGGATAGTTGTAGATGTCTATGGGCCGCAGCAACCACTTACCATCAGGTGGACTGTGTGCTCGTTTGTCACCCTTATATTATAAAAAAAAAGGCTACGTGCTTTCACCTAAGCTGTTTCTTCTGCTTATCAATAACATGTTGCAAACAATAAAATAAAAAACAAATAACGTGCACTGGTAATGCTTTATACTAGGGATATAACGGAAGTGGTTATATCGCAGCCAAATTCGGAAGCGAAAGAAGTTTAAATTTTGTTTGTCGGAACTGGAACCGAAATCGGAACCGGAATCGGAGGTGGAGGCAAAAGAGATGTGTTAAGGGCAGGTCTATTGCACTGTCAGTGAAATGCACAGACTTTAAATGACTTTTTAATGAAGTAGTCGTACCTCATTTTCGTGAATATATCTTCTCACATAGTTTACACTTTGCCCTATTCCCAGAAACTTCATTGAAATAATTACCAAATGGCACCTGATTTCGGCTTCATTGTCCAATTCAAATAAGTTTGTTACATTTCAAATAAAACACTACTAAAACTAATCAAAAACTCGGATAAATATCAATTGCCAAATACGAAACAAAACATCAAGTTAAAGAATAATCGACAGAAGCCACGGGTGGAGGGAGGTTTCCGGGCCGACAAAAATATAAACTTGTTTGTACACGCTGATCGCGCCCGCAGCCGCCACTGTGCATTGACCTCCGATATATAACTTCCGATTAAAATTTAACGGAACCGAAATCGGAATCGAAGGTGCAAAACCAATCGGAAGTTCCGAACTTTCGGAATCGGAATCGAACCTCCGTAACATCTCTACTTTATACACCGGTTGTGCCTATATTTCTCGGGAAAACGTCGCCGAGTAGCGGAACAAACTTGTCTGAAGTCGAGTTTTTGCCAGATAAGGTCTCGGATTAGGGCGACTAAATCTAATTAAGTTCTCCTTCCACTTGAACGATCTAATGCAGAGCGGTTCGAATCGTCGACGACTGACGAAGACGAAAGATGAGTCGAAGAGATGTTGCATCCCTTTGCATTTTCTATCGCATTTACCACGGGGAGTGTTCAGAGGAATTGTTCGGATTAATTCCAGCCACAAAATTTCATCAACGCATTTCACAAATCCACATCTTCCACAACTTCACCAATTTAAAAAATATAACGATTGCGCTTGCCGAAAAAAAAAAGATGTTCATTTTCATTCATTTTCAAATATGGAATGGCCGAAGAAAGAAGATAGCGAGTAGCGGTTATCGCGTTGCACCCAGGGGCGTAGCTACCGCCGTATCAGCCGTATCAATGATACGGGGCCCCCAGGCTACAGGGAACCCAAATGTGTGTAAACAAAACTTCCAAGGACTTCTATGGGACAGGAAAGGCCATCAATATCGTCTGTAGAAGCAAAGAATTTAGAAAAACTGAAATCGTCTTCAGTTATGAATGCCGCCGAATCGTCTTCAGCTATGTTCGCTGAACAAAAGGCAAGAAAAGTGTATATTTGATTTTAATTGTTTGGCTAGCTTAGTTCCTAGGAGTATTAATTGTAAGTAATAATAGTAACTAATTATCAATAATATATAATAATTTAAATTTTTTTTATAGGAGAGGGGGCAAACGAGAATGCGGCTCACCTGATGGTAAGTGACTACCGCCGCCCATGAACAACCGCAGGGGAACCAGGGGAATTGCAGATGCGTTGCCGACCTTTTAAAAAGGAGTAGGCTCTTTTCTTGAAGCTCCCTAAGTTGTATCGGCCCGGAAAAATCGCTGGTGGTAATCGATTCCACAAGGAAGTTGTGCGAGAAAGAAAACATCTTCTAAATCGCACAGTGGTGGACCGCCAATCATCCAGGTGGTATGGATAGTATCGCAAGTTTTGTCGTGATGTGCGATAGTGAAATTGAGCGGCTGGAATTAGTCCAAACAATTCCTCAGAGAGACATTAGAACGGCTCCAACGCACTTTTTGTACGAGAACCTGCGTCGGCAGTAGGCGGAACCCTGTTGTCACAACTACATTTGCAAATATAAGTACACGCTCACACATGCATTAAAGACGCCAATCAAATGTGTAAAAGAGCCAACCAAATGACAGGCAAAATCGAGCGAACTAATCCGGTGCGTGCTCACTCACACATGCACACATACATGTAGTGAAGGCGTAAAGACGCGTAAGCAACTAGTGAGTTGAAGTGGCGATTGACAATTTTTTATCGATATCGATAAAAACTTCAAGTTGAGTGTTCGTGTTATGTAGGAATGGATGTAGGGAATGGATACGGTTTGTATTTAGGTAAGTTATAAATAAAAAAATTAAATTACTGTATTAAAATTAATGTTGTAATTATGAAGCAATTTTGATCAAATTTAGTACACAGATAAATTAGATCTTGGGGAAGGTTTTTATTTGGTTGACAAATTTTGTTGAGAGCTCTAAAGTACAAAGGGTTAAAAATCAGACATAAAATAATTCGATGTGATGAATAAGCAAAGCAATGCTAAAAAATTAACTTTAAAAGAGAATGTTATTTTTATTGCCCCTGAAATATAATATATTTGTTTAATAGTTGCCGCTTAGTTTCTTTTTGAGTCATAGAGTTTTTCAGAAAGAAGTGAAGTCGAATATTTAGGTATTTCTCTATAACAGCCTTAGTTAAATCGGTTATGTGGTTAGAAAACGGAAATTGTCCCATATCATGAAATCTGATCGTGTCAAACAAAGAGCTCTCAACGAAATTCGTCAATACTTTAACTTCGATTGATTTTTTATTTATGGTTATTGATTTTACCATAATATGTTGCCGTACAACAAGTTCCGTAAATTTACAAATTTTTATTACGTCACTCGAAGGATAGATAAGGCCACCTTTGTCTTTTTTTTTTAATTAATTTGTGGCAAGAGTCAGTTTGACTGCATAAAAGAGCTCCGATACATATGTCGCATTTTATTTTATTTATGAGGGAATGAACAACGTTGCCAGCTATATAACCTAAAACAGAAAAAAATCTGTAACACAGGGATACACTCAAATAAGGACTCCTGACTCGTGAAACTAGGGAAATGTGCTATCAGGAGTCAGTGATTATGACAGGAGTAGGCAGTTATAGTACTTGATCTGCCAAGTCGAGCAAAAAAGCGGCACGGAATTTCATTCAATTTGAACATCGCACTAAACAATCTAATTTAATATAATATGTATTACTTGTTAGATACGATGTGTTTTCATGCGATGGCCAAGTCAATCTTTTTATTTAACCGACTTGGTTTTACATGGATCTCACAGTTTTTTACGGTAGAAGAACTGAGTTGCGAAACTTGTTTTTTTTTTATAAGCTTTCGTAATATGCAAATTGTAAGATTTATGATCAAAACTTGAAAAATGATGTGTGAAAAAAATTACCTATAACTTGCATACTGAAATCTGTCAAATAATAATGATCCAGCATTTCTTCTTGGAATTCATTGTCTGATTCGTCGTCGCAAGCTTTTTCTGTTGACGGCGTGGTCAAATTAATCCGGTCAACAGCTGAGCAGGTTAAAATAGATAACTGTTCAAGCGCATTACAGTTGCCACTGCCGAAATCCTTGAGTTCTATGTGAACTAATAGTTTTTTATATGCTGCTTTAAACTGCCTGGCTGTCGGATTGTTATTAGATCCACCATGAGATCTAATATTGCCAAAAAGTAATTCTAGATGGTCCTGGCTTGTTTTATAAAAAGGAAAAAAGACCAATTCTCCAGTTTGAACAAGAGTCTCATAAAAGTGTCTGACAGCTACAGCGCAGCCGATAAACCCTTTGAAACCTACTTTCCTTTGGCTTTCAATCAAAAGTGGGCCATTGTCACACTTTAAATTAGATATATAGCCAGCAACTTTATCTATATATTCTAAAATTTCTTTAGCATTATTTTCATTAATAGGTTTTTTATAACCGTGTTGTGACATGCTTTTTGAATTAAGTATATCAAAAAAATTATTTATTGTTTTTAAGAAAACTGTTGTTGGTAAACTTTCACGAAAAATTGGTAAATTTAGTTCTTCTCTGCAAAAATCTATGGCATTACATACGCTTAAACTAAATAATTGGGTGGCAAGTTTAACTTTCATCTTTTGATTGTGATAGTGTATATGCCGATATCTCAACTTGTTCGCCAAACGAAATTTTTCCTTTTCTTGGAGCTTGTTTAGTTCCTCAAGGTAGGACCACTTTATTTTTTTGCCATTCTCGTCAACAAACACTTGGTAGACCTGTAATATTATCAAATAACACAGGTGTATATGACAAATTGCCGAAAACTGAAATCAATTTTCGTGAAACGTCACAATTTAAAAAACCGTAAAAACCATTACATGATCCTGATGCAATATGTGTCTCCAATCTAAAGAGATAAATTGTGTTGCGCAGATCCTTAATGAATTGGGATAAGGACAGGGAGAAGAAGATATATATCAATATTTCCACGCAAATCACGTCGTGAGCAAAACTTAGTTAAAATTAATTACATAAGTCATAGCAAACCTGAAATGCGTTGCGTATTAGCTTAACCATGTGAGATGGATCTAAAAGTGCCATAATTGGATATTTTGTGACCGGATCTTCAAATTTCATTTTTCCCTCTTCAAAGTTACATCCCAGGTGTTTCAACATAGCTATGTTAGAGGCATAGCCATCAAAAGTTAGAGAAACAATTTTTACTCGCGTTTCATGTATTTTTTCCAGACATTGTTTTCCTAGTTCAGCTCGTTGAACTCCAGTCATTCCGTCAATCAAAAAATAAGCCATAGGCACCTTAAAATTACAGTTAATGCCAGTCACTAAAAAAACTAATGCCTCCTTTGCTTCCGTTATATGGTCACCTTCTATTCCGCTACCGATCTCAACATGCCCGTGCAGTTTTACTCCGTCCCATTCTATACGACGTCTTATTGCCATTTCATCTATCATTAGACCAGCTATGATTGGATATTTTATTGAATTTGACTTTGCCTTAAGGGCTTTGAAGGATTCATCTGTGAAGCCTGGTTCTCCTTTTATACTTGTGTACCATTTTCGTAAAGTACGCACATGAGGCAAGCATGTTTTAAATGTATCTCTTACGTAATTATACGCTTTGGGCGAATAGTAATGTAAGGTAAGTGCAAATGTTCGGAGAGCTGGGGAATAACGCTGGTTTGTAATTCCACCGGACTTTTCTTTTGATATGTACCGACCAATCAATTCTTCCACCTACAAAATAAAATAAAAATTGTTTACCTAATTCATTCAAAAAATATATTGAGATGTAAAAACCGAAGGAATCTCGTAACCTACATACAAAAAATTAAATAATAATAAAAATTCGGTTTAAAGAGTGTACCTGTAAATTTGTGCCTCTCAATGCACTTAACTGTTCTTCTTTCAGTGAAAACTTCTTTTCTAAGTCATTTATTATATCTGCCATTTTATGTATTTTTTTTCTTTAATCGTCGATTTTGTGCTTGTATTCTTTTAATCCGATTTCTTTGGTGTTTTATGATATTTTCTTTAGAAGATATTATTCGTGTTAATCTTCTTTTTCTCGGCGTTGACGCATTGGAGTCAATGAAGGAAGGAACACTGGACTGAAGTTTTTTTACATAGTCCGTTGTTACCTGTATTGCTATACTAGAACACTCCTCCATTAATACTGAAGAATTAGTCGGTACTGAATCCATATCATTAATTGGTTGATTAACACTCTCTTCCATTAATACTGTTGAAGTTTAACGGTACTGGATCTACATCCCTTATTGTTTGACTAGCACTCTCTTCCATTACCGTTACCGTTGAAAAAGTTGTCAGTATTGGATTTACAATTTCCTAAAATAAAACAAGATAATAAGATCTACAGTGCTGTATATTAACCTAAAATAATAGTTTAACTACGAAAGATAAACGAAGTTTGTTGATTGGTAACAGCAATAAAAGTGAAACTCAGCAAAATAATGTGTTAGTTAGGTACCATCTATAACTAACCCGAACTTTAGCACGTTTGTTTATTATTTCATTGCCTATGTTCTTCTGAGTACGTTTTCGTGGTGACAAAGTAGAATCTTTTGTATCATTAACCTAAAAAATATCGTCAACAATATATGAACATATTTACAGTTATGAACAAAATATGTTTATAAAATAGTATAGACATACAATATACATAATTTGTACATGTGGTACTGCACCGTTTTTTAAATATCTCTTCTTAGAATTTTTGACCTCGAAGTCATCTTCATTAAAGTGTTGTGAACAAATGGTACTTGATTTAGTCGGAATCCAGTCTTTACGACCAGTAATTTCGATCCACTGTTTCCGTATATCTGGCTTTTTAGGAAAACTGAAATGTTATAGGAAACAAAATGCCTTATATGTATATACTTAAGGTAAATGTGTTTAATATAAATGATACGAGGTAAAATACATAGCACTTAGTTAGAAAATTAAATAAAAAAAAGCGATAGCAAAAGTCTCAGGTAGTGAATTTCAATAAAGAAAATGTATGGAAAATCAAGCACTTCGTTGGAAAAGGCTATGCAGAGTTTTGTATGGTGACGTCTTTTTTTTTCGCGCGGCCATCAACCATATCTTGTTATTTGGGTTTAGAATAGTGTAAAAAACTTAGTACAACATGTATATATCTAAACCAAACCATGTTATTTGGATTCAGAATAGTGTGAAAAGAAAAACTTAGTATGACACCAATATAGCTAAACTCAGTCTGGGCCGAGCTATGAAGGTGTAAAGTTTCAAAGTTTTTAATCTTCATAACTCGGTCCGGACTGAATTTAGCAATTTAGTCGTACAAAGTTTTTTGGTTAACACTATTCTGAGCCCAAATAACACGGTTTGGTTATTGGCCGCGCGAAATAAAAATCACCACCTTCGTGTAACTTTAACCTTCATAGCTCATTTCGGATTGAGTTTAGCTAAATTGTGTTATACTGTTTTTCTTTTATCATTTTTCTGAACCCAACTAACAAGTTTTGGTTGATCGCCGCGCGAATGAAAAGAGACGGTGGCGTCTCTTCAAGTAGGTGGCTTCTTGAACATTGAAAACTTTGAACCTTCAGCTCGGCTCGGACTGAGTTTAGCTATATACTTGTCATACAAAGTTGTTCTTTTTACACTGTTCTGAATCCAAATAACAAGGTTTGGTTGATGGCCGCGTGAAATAAAAATGACGCCACTTTCCGGCATTCCCTTTTACCTAAGAATCCGAATCGATAAAGATATCCATAAAATGCTTAGCGTAATGATCAATGCCATTAATAATTATTTTTATAAAAAAATATAATGAAGATTACTACCCAAAATAAATTGAAACTTATCGATAAATTGCTACAGAGTGCGTGCCGCTTCACTAGAATCATGTGTCACCTTTACATTGCGTGCTTAAAACGACACTATAAAAATGGTATGCGTACTTTGCCAGCAATGTATATTTTTTAGAATTTTAATAACATTTTACAGATTTTTACTTAAAAACCGTAAATTTGAGAAGTTTTTTACTTACCGATGAAAAGAAATTCCTCCTTTGGCTACACTCGACACTTCACTCCTTGCTTTGCAACTAATAACAGCACAAGTAGGCATTTTTCGTCAAAATTAGTCGCCGCGTTTCACTTGCGCACAGTGAGATCGTTCGTGAGTGACTTATGAGCGCGATCACGTGTCTCGGGATTTATATGACCGTTTGGGCAAATCAGTGGCACGCGTGCCCCACCCACAACGCCATTCTAAGTTTTTCTGTTTTCTATGGATAAAATACGCAAAGAGATGCAACATCTCTACGCAGTGCCAGTGTATCGAGCCGATCAGAAAGAACTCGGTCGTCGGCGATTCGAACCGCTCTGCACTGGATGCGGTCAAGTGGGCAAAGGAGCTGGTACTGGGGTGCCCCGGCCTAGAGATGAGAACAGTATTCCATGTGAGGCCGGATTTGCGCTTTGTAAAGTTGCAAGCGATGTGCTGGCATGAAATACTGTCTCAGGACCTGGAGGTCCTTTAAAAGCGTCATTGCCAAGGCAAGGTTCTGAGTACATTGTCATTATACTTCTTTTTAAGAGCGCTGGTGTTTACATCCCGAGACGTTGATGCGTGAGCCCAGGCCCGAAGGTACTCCTGCTTATAGCGTGATGCTATTTTACAGGAGCGACCAAACCATGGCTGGGATCTGCCTCCGATGGGCACCACAGAGGATGGAATAAAAAGTTCCATACCCTGAAGTATCACATCAGCAACAGAATCGGCAACAACGCTGGGATCTTCCGGCGAGAAGCAAACCCGCGCCCAAGGGTAGGATGCAAATAAAGACCGCATCGCGTCCCAATCGGCTGACCTATAGTGCCAAACACGGCGGCAAGCTGCAGATCGTAGCTGCGATGGGAGCGTGAGTGGCACCGTACTCCGGATCAGACAATGATCCGAGAAACCCAGAGGGGCATCGACGGAGATCTGATATCCGTCCGGATGAGAGGTCAGCAGAAAGTCCAACAGCGAAGATATAATATGATCCTCCACATCTGGGATCCGCGTAGGCGAAGTAACAAAAATTCACGGATAGCGTGACAGGGGTCGCCATGATCTTATTGCTCCGCTTGCCCCGAGTAGTCTTAGTCGCGAGCGGAATTTTGCCCCCCCCCCTCCCCAGAATACGCGGGGCAGCCTGGGCACCCACGCTCAGGAGTGGAGTAGTTTGTTCGTGGATGCTCAGCGAGGGATTCTCCAGGGGTGCTGGTATCTGGGGTAGTCTTTTCTTTAATTCCGTTACCATGTTGAGGGGGAATTGGGCCTCCGGCCACCTGCACTCACCAAGCGCAACGCAGAGGTAAACCTCTACTTCACGCTGGTATTCTGTGAGGTCGTGGTACCACCCCGGTTTGAGCCGGCCCATCCGTGCGACAGCAAAAGCTGCCGCGTGGCTCTACGAAAGCAAAAACAAAAAAGCAAAAACGCTTGTTTTGTTCCTTTTATGAAATTCTCTTCATTGGGGCCCCCCAACAAATTTTGATATAGGGTCCATCAAAGGCACGCTACGCCACTGGTTGCACCGCTATGGTTATGCGCCAAAAGAGATTTTCAATAATCTACAAAAATTGAAAATGACCCTACGATTTGTTTATCGCACTATCAAACGATTTACTGAAGATTCAAGTTTCGAAGATCGTAAGAGGACTGACCGACCTCGTACAGTTAAGACACCCGCGATCATCAAAGCAGTAAAGGCGCCAATCCAACGAAAGCCTGTTCGTAAACAAAAAATCTTAGCTCTTCAGATGGGCCTAAGCAGAACCACGATCAAAAGAGTGATCAATGAAGACCTAGGACTACGAGCTTATCGTAAGAAGACCGGACATTTTTTAACGAGCGTTTGAAAAAAATTAGGCTGGATAGATCCCGCGCTTTGTTACGGCGGTACGCAGGAAAAAAATACCGCGAAATTTTTTTTCCAGATGAAAAAATTATTAATGTCGAAGAAAGTTATAATAAACAAAATGGTAAGGTGTATGCCCGTAGCAGGCAAGAAGCCAGCACGCGTATTCTGAGGGTTCAACGAGCACATTATCCTTCGTCACTCATGCTTTGGCTTGTAGTCTTATATTCAGGCTTAACTGAGGTGTTTTTCTGTGAACAAGTTGTAAAAACAGTGCCGAGGTGTATCAAAATACCGTCCTAACAAACATAGTCGAACCTTTTTCTCAAACAATGTTCAAAAACAGACATTGGATATTCCAACAGGACTCTGCACCAGCTCATAGGGCACGAAGCACGCAAAACTGGTTGACCGCCCATAGAATTGACTTTATCGGACTTGAAGACTGACCCTTTTCTAGTCCAGATTTAAGCCCACAGGATTATGAGATATGGCAACATTTGTAGGAGAAAGTCTGCGCTAAACCTCATCAGAATTTGGAATCTCTCCGAGCATCTGTGGCGTGCTTTAGCAAAAGCAGCAGCAGAAATAGATAGGAGTGTGGTGCGTGGTGCGATTGATGATTGGCCGCGTCGATTAAGGCCATGTATTCAAAATAGGGGAGGGCATTTTGAATAATGTAAATAAAATTGTATTCTAAATGAAATTACCTTTCATTTCATATATAATTTCTATATAATTATCAAAAAGTGTATCATTAATTTTATAAAAAGCTTTTGACAGAACTTATGACCTGTCTAAGTATATAAATAAGATAATAAAACGAAGTAAACAATTATCTTTAACAATGTTATATTTATTTTCTGGAAGTAGGAGTTAGAAGCTATTCCCACTTATTCAAATTCAATTTTTTTTCTATTCTAATCATATGTATATCATGCATCAGAATATTGCCGGCTTTCTTAATAAATCTGATGTACTAACGGTTCATATTCAGGAATTATTAAACAAAAAGAAAGTTACCAAGGAATGAATCCTCGAAATAAAAAAAAAAACAACATAAAGCCTATACTAAACGTAAGGACATCATAGAGTGTGCCACTGATTTCTAACGACGACTCTACAGTAGAGAAGTACCATTGCATAAAAAGTTTCAAACAATTATTACAATACATGACAAGCCTCTATCTATATTAAGTAGCGAGGTAGAAAAAGCATTAAGCTCACAAAAACTAAATAAAGCACCCGGACCAGACAAGATCACAAATGAGATTCTACAAGCAACATCTGAGGAATTATGTCCAATACTAGCAAGAATGTTTCATCATCATCATCATTACAGCCCTTCACAAGTCCACTGCTGAACATAGGCCTCCCCCAAAGAATGCCACAAAGCACGGTCCTGAGCCACCTGCATCCATCGACTTCCTGCATGTCTTACCAGGTCGTCACTCCATCTCGTGGGGGGACGCCCTACACTTCGCCTACCGGTACGAGGCTGCCACTCGAGAACCTTTCTTCCCCATCGGTTGTCGGTTCTTCGAGCTATATGGCCGGCCCACTGCCACTTCAGCTTACTAATCCGTTGGGCTATGTCGGTTACTCTGGTTCTACTGCGGATATCCTCATTCCTAAGTTTATCACGCAGAGAAACTCCGAGCATAGCCCTCTCCATAGCTCGCTGAGCGACCTTGAGCTTCCTCATACGGCCAGCAGTGAAGGACCACGTCTCAGTTCCATAAGTCATCACTGGCAACACGCACTGGTTGTACAATTTCGTTTTCAGGTTTTGAGGTATGTCTGACGAGAAGATGTGTCGTAGCTTCCCGAACGCTGCCCAGCCGAGTTGAATCCGTCGATTGACCTCTCGGTCGAAGTTGGACTTACCTAGTCGGACTATTTGTCCCAGGTAAACATACTCGTCAACAACTTCGAGCTTAGTGCTCCCAACAACTACCGGCATAGGTGTGACATGGACATTGAACATGATCTTTGTTTTGTCCATGTTCATCTTAAGACCTATCCGTTGGGAAACACTATCGAGGTCATTGAGCATAGTGCTTAGGTCCTCCAGCGATTCTGCCATAAGGACTATATCGTCGGCAAATCGAAGGTGAGTGATGTACTCGCCATTGATGTTGATACCGTATCCTTTCCAGTCCAGAAGCTTGAAAACGTCTTCCAATGCAGCGGTGAAGAGTTTCGGGGATATGACGTCACCCTGTCTTACACCTCTCTGCAATTGGATAGGTTTCGTACTCTGGTTCTGTACTCGGATAGCCATCGTAGCCCTACTGTACAAGCACTTCAACACTTCGATATACCGACAGTCAACTTGGCACCGCTGAAGGGACTGCAGCACCGCCCAAATTTCGACGAAATCAAAGGCTTTCTCATAGTCCACATACGCCAGACATAGTGGCAAATTGTACTCTTCGGACTTCTGTACAATTTGCCGAAGGGTATGTATGTGGTCTATGGTGCTAAAGCCCTTTCGGAAACCGGCTTGTTCGGAAGGCTGGAAGTCGTCAAGTCTGCGCGCGAGACGATTCGTAATGACTCTCGAAAACAGCATGTAGACGCGGCTCAGAAGGGAAATCGGTCTGTAGTTCTTCAAGAGAGCGTTGTCACCTTTCTTGAAGAACAAGACCACCGCACTTCTGCTCCACGCCTCCGGTGTAATGCCACCATGGAGGACGGAATTAAAGAGCTTCTGAAGGACTTCAAGTACTGGTCTTCCACCCGCTTTCAGAAGCTCCGCTGTAATTCCATCCTCGCCTGGGGCCTTACCGTTTTTAAGGTGCTGGAGAGCCATTCTAATCTCGCTCAGACTGACGTCCGGGATATCTTCGGAATAGTGTCGGATGAGACTCGCTCTTGGATCGTTACTCACACTTGCGTGTGGCTCCAACGATGACGTGTACAGCTGCCCATAGAACCTCTCAATCTCACTCAAAATCTCAGGTGTCCCGGAAACGATGCTGCCACATCCTGTCTTCAGCTTTGACAGGTGGCTCTTTCTGGCAGACAGATCTCTGGCAAAGACTTTGGAGCCTTGGTTCCGCTCGATCGCTTCTTCAATACGAGCTGTATTGAAGTTGCGTAAGTCCCGCCGCATGCATTTGGAGATCTGTCTGTTCAGATGCCTGTATGCTGTCAAGTCTGTTGAAGAATGTAGCTTCATCTCCCGTCTAACAGCCATGAGATTAAGAGTGTGATC